ATAGCAATGTACAAAGAATTAGGACCAGACAGACTTCATACAGAAAAAGTCTAAAAACAATAGATAGGATGGGTTACCAACTTGATGACAATGGTTGTTTCTGAAGGGGAAGGAAGAATGGGTAGAAGAAAGGTAGAAAGGTTACCAACTAAGCCAGGCATGAGGGCTCATGTCTGTAATCTCAGCACTTTGAGAGGCTGAGGTGAGAGGACTGCCTGAGCCCAGGGGTCAAGACCAGCCTGGGCAACTTGGCAAGACCTCGTCTCTACAATAAATGAGAAAAAATTAACCGGGCATGGTAGCGCGCACCTCTAGTTCCAGCTACTTAGAAGGCTGAGGCAGAAGGATGGCCTGAGCTCAGCAGGTGGAGGCTGCAGTGGCAGTGAGTGTGCCACTGCTTTCCAGCCTGGGTGACAGAGTAACACTCTGACAAAGAAAGAAAGAAGGAAGGAAGGAAGGAAGGGAGGGAGGGAGGAAGAAAGGTGATCAACTGTATCTACAATGCTTTATTAAAAAGAGAGAGAGGGCTAGGCACGGTGGCTCATGCCTGTAATTCCAGCACTTTAGGAGGCGAAGGCAGGAGACTCACTTAAGCTCAGAAGCTCAAGACCATCCTTGGCAACACAACAAGACCTCGTCTCTACACAAAATAGAAAAAATTAACCCAGCAGGGTGGTGTGCACCTATAGTCTCAGCTATTCGGTATACTGGCTGAGGTGGGAGAATTGCCTGAGTCCAGGAGTTCGAGGCTGTAGTGAGCTGTGATCGTGCCAGCGCACTCCAACCTGGGCAACAGAGCAAGACCCTGACTCAAACAAGAAACAAACAAATAGAAAGAGAGAGAGAGAGTCTTAGACTTGGCAAAGCGTCAACATTGAGTCATTCTCAGTGATAGGTACATGGGCATAGTCTCAGTGTCGGTGATATAACCTTGATTTTCTGTACACTTGAAATTTTTTCAATTAATAGAGAAAGAAGTTTTCCTATTCATCCAAAGAGGTAAGCATGCCTTTGATATCCAAACTAGACACGGATAACACAAAAACTGAAACAAAAACTAAAGTGTAATTCTAACTGTGAAAATAAAGGCAAACATTCCAAATAAAATGCTGACAAAATGAATCCAGAGGTTTATCAAAAGAGTAACACACCATGACCAAGCAAGCCACATCCATAAATATAAGGATGGTGAGTATTAGGAAACTGTTGCTGCAATTCACCACGTGCATAGATTCAAGGGAAAAAACGGCCGGTTTTAAAAAAGAAATCTCTATATGGCAAAACTGCAAGGTAACAAACCAGGAACAAATATTCATAATTCACTTTTCAGAAAACAGGCACATTTCCTGAATATATGCGCTCATATATATCAATTTCTAAAGACCAACAATTCCACAGAAGAATATACAAAGGATGTGAACAGTCAGGTCTCAGGAAAGGAAGTGCAAATGTCTCTCACACCTGTGAAAAAACTGTCTGGCCCACTCATAACTAGAGAAATGCAAATTCTCTAATGCAATGTGCCTGGAGAGATCTTGATTCCTACATACCATTAAAAAGTCCTGGATGGCCGGACTTGGTGGCTCAGTCTGTAATCCCAGCACTTTGAGAGGCCGAGGCAAGTGGATTACCTGAGCCTGTGGGTTCGAGACCAGCCCAGGCAACTTGGTGAGACCTCGTCTCTATAATAAATCAAAAATTAGCCGGGTGTGGTAGTGCGTGCCTGTAGTTCTGGCTACTTGGAAGGCTGAGGCTGAAAGATTGTTGGAGCCCAGCAGGTTGACACTGGGGTGGCACCGCATGCCAGCCTGGGTGACAGAGTAAGACTCTACCCCCACAAAAAAATTAGGTATGACAGTATAATTGTAACCCAAAGAATCAGGAAAATAAACAAATGAAGAAGAAATCCTCCCTACAGAAGTCAGTTGAAAGGAACAGAGCCACCCTCCTTCCTTCCATAGCAGACATCACCCTATGTGACAGGATCTGGGCTGGGGCTGGGCTATGACAGGCCCCTGGGAGCTCATATCTTGCTGGTGGATGGACGATGACATCATGGTGTCCTGTCACATTACACACGACCTGCTTCTCCTCTCAGCCCCTCTAGTACATATTTTGCTTTTTTCAGTGCCTTTTTGTAAATTGCAATGTAATTTACATGAGATAAAATGCAGTCATTGTAAGTGTACGTTTGACACGTTTTGACAAATGTAGGTCTCTATTGTAACCACCACCCTCATCAAAATGAAGAATTTTTGCACCCCAGGAAGTTTTCTTCCGTCCTCACCTCAGGCAACCACCTGTCTGATTTCTGTCTTCATGGCTTATTATTCCCTGTTCTAGCGTGTCATCAAAATGGAATCATACAGTATGTATCTCGAGTCTGGCTTCTTTCATTCAACATACTCTCTGCAAATGCACCCATAGAGTGTTTTTCAATGGTTCATTCCTTTTTCTTGCTGAGTAGTATTTCATTGTATGGATATACCATGGTTTGTTTTTCCTTTCACCTCCTGATGGTCATTTGGTGATTTCCAATTTGGACTATTAAAAATACAAGGGGAGCCGGGCTCGGTGACTCAGCCTGTAATCCCAGTACTTTGAGAGGCTGAGGTGAGTGGATTGCCTGAGCCTGCAGGTTCAAGACCCACCTGGACAACTTGGTGAGACCTCATCTCTACAATAATTCAAAAAATTAACCAGACATGGCAGCACGTGCCTGTAGTTCCAGCTACTTGGAAGGCTGAGGCAGAAGGATCACCAGAGCCCAGCAGGTCGAGGCTGCGGTGGCTGGGAGCACCCACTGCACTCCAGTCTGGGTGACAGAGTGAGACTCCAACTCAAAAAAAAAAATAATAACCAAAAAAACAAACAAACAAACAAAAAAAAAAAAAACAAGCAGACTTCAAAAGGTTCATGGCAAATGGAATTAAAAATAAAAAATATAAACTTTATGTTTCAACACAACTTCCATCAAGATCAAGATCGTTTTGTGATGATGCCAGCCGTTTGCCAATCCCTGAAGAACTGAGGGCCCTGGGACTTTTAACCATGCCAGTGGTTTTTTATATTTTTATATTTTTAACTGAAGGAAAATGGGAACCCTTTACAAATTTTTTAAGATTGAGAAACAAAAAGAAATCAGTGGAACCGAATCAGGTCTGTAGAGTGTCCCAGGAGCTCTATACCTCACCAGCAGCAACTCCTTCCTGGCCATTTTAGTAGGTGTGTAGTAGTATCTCATTGAGGTTTTCATTTTTGTTCCTAGATGGCTAATGGTGATGAGCATCTTTATGTGCTCATTGGATGTTCATATACCTCCTCTGGTGAACTGTCCAAATCTTTGGCCCATTTAAAAAACGGGGTTGTTTTCTTATCGGCTGTAGTTCAGAGTCGTGTTTTTAATAGCACAGACCACAATCAGATATTCCCATTAGATCCCACACCTAGCCTCCTGCCAGGAAACTGTCAGTAAAATCCAAACACCACAATCAAACGGTGTCTGTGCTCTGACCATCCTCACCCCCCTGCCCATCTGTTGACCTCCACACTTCCACTCAGTCCTTCCTTTGACACTGCCTGTTTGGCTGTCCTCCGAACCAACCAGGCATCTGTTACCAGGAATCATCGTATTCCTGGACACTTGAGTGTTTGCTTCCTCAAAAGTTGGGGCTTCCCTGTATCTTGGGTGTGTAGCACTGTTGTTGAATGAATAAATGTCAGAAAGTGCTTCTCTGAGGAAGTGACCTGGCATTATAATCACTGAAGGAGGAGTTAATCAGATAAGAAGGTAGAGAAAGAGCACGCCAGGTAGAGGAGTCAGCCTACACAAAGTCTCTGCGGCAGGAGGGGGCATGGTTTGTTCAAGAAACTGTAAGATCAGTGGAAGAGGCCAGGGGTTATCTTCCGCTTCTATACCAGGACCCTGAGCAAGATGGGAAGCTCCCAGAGTTTTACTATTTGTGGTTTTTTGCCTTTGGGGAGGGGATCGAAGTGACCATGATTGGTGACCTAAGCATTCCTCTGGCTGCCAAATGAGGAAACTAGAGCTTCTTAAAGACACACGAAGCCGGGCTCGGTGGCTCAGCCTGTAATCCCGCGCCTTTGGGAAGCTGAGGTGAGTGGATGGCCTGAGCCCGCGGGTTCGAGACCCGCCTGGGCATCGAGACCTCATCTCTACAATAAATCAAAAAATCAGCTGGACGAGGTAGCACATGCCTGTAATTCCAGCTACCGGGAAGGCTGAGGAGGAAGGATCGCCGGAGCCTTCCCGGCAGGTAGAGGCTGCGGTGGCCGGCAGCGGCCACTGCACTCCAGTCTGGGCGACAGAGTGAGACGCTAACTCAAAAAAAGACACACGAGTCCCTCAGGACAGGACAGGGAGGAGACAGAAGCGGCTTGGATCCAGTGATGGCAAGAAGTGAACAGAGATCAGAGAAAGCCTTAGGAGGTGAAGATGAGCAGATCTTGGTGAGGGATTGATGGTGAGGGTGAAGGGGGACAAGGACAACCCCAGGTTGCTACTAGTGGGGTGGAAGGAAGGGACTAGGGCAGGGCGCTTCCCAGAGGCCCCGGCTCACCACAGAAATGTCACGGTTGGGTCTCGGTCACGCTAAACTCCAGAGAGTGTGTGTTTGTGTGTGAGACAGAGAGAGAGAGAGAGAAGGGGGAGAGCGAGAGAGAGAGGAAGAGGGGAGAGGAGGAGAAGGGGGAGAAGGGGAGGGAGAGAGATTCGGGTGACCGGGTGACCGCCTCGGAGCCCTCCGGGTGGCCTGGGGGAGGCGGGCTCGACCCGAGGCCTGGCACAGCCACGAAGAGGCCCTGGAGGAGGATGGGCGGGCCGAGGTCGCGGGAGTGGCCCGGGAAGTCGGAGGAAAGCTCGGGGTGCCAAGAAAGAGAGAGGGATGGAGTAGGAGGCGGACATCGCAGCCAACGGGGCAGGGGGGCGAGGCGGGGTCTTTGCGGCTGAGACGCCCAGGCCCCGGGTCCCGGACTCGCACATGGACAGGAAGTCAGCCCGGAGACGGCGCGTATCGACGAGCTCTGGCAGGGACGGAACGGACGAGTGGCAGCCCCGACGGGACGTCGGGGCGGAAGTAAGGGTCTCGGGCGGCCAGGGCCGGGGGA